CACATATCATTTTCCTATCTTTTATTATATAATTTAATTTAAAAAATAATAATAATAATTCAAGAACTATATATGCATTTAACTACAAATGATTTTATAATTTAATTGTAATCTCCTAATTCCAATCAACATATGCATGCAAAAATTATGATAACAATATTAATTAAGGGGGAAAAGGAAAATAAAAGTAAATCAAATCATTTCCATTGAAAGATCTATATCAATAAGAAAAAAATTAAAAGCTCGAATCTAAAACCAAGAACTTCTAGAGAGAGAAACCACTCGAGGGCAAATCCATCAACACAGTAGGAAAATTCATGTCTTTGGAAAGATTTGCAATGAATATATAATTAAAGATTGAGATGGTAATAATTAGTCCAACAGAATTGAGACTGAAGTTTTTTTTTTTTTTTTAATTTTTTTAGTAAAAGGCGAAAGAATAGTTCGCTCTGTGCTCCCCACACGGCTCCCTTTTTTTTTTTTGATGAGGACGTGAGATTGAAATTAAAAATTAAAAATGACATAATGCTTGGGTATCTTTATAATTTTCTTGAAACTCATATGCTTTTTAATTAGATAGTTAGATTTAGATGCCAATCAAGAACGGAGAGCTTTGATTAGTGCATAAAATAATATTAAAGCACCTAGATATTTTTGGCCAACTTATTAGTTCTTTTATATACCCTCTACCTACCCAGCAATTGCTATTTCAGGTTCAATTTCACAATACTCCAATATTCTGCAACTGTAGCTCAAACTGAAAGTTCTTAATTTTGACCTTGCCATTTTCAAAACCAGAAAAAGGTTTTAATTTTGAGGTATTTTTTCTTTTCTTTAATTAGTCCAAACTTTCTCAAGAAATCACTTTTGTGTTTTTTTTTTTTTCTTAATGTTTAGTGGTAAGAAAATTGAGTCCAAATGGAGAAAATTTGGTAAAATCCTTTTCCTTCCAAATAGGTATAAAGAAAATCTTACCTATAAAAAATTGTGGCAAGGGATAAAATAAGTTAATTAAAAGTGTAATGATATAAGGATAAATTTTTTTGTAGAACTTTTTATACAAATTTACATATTATTAAATTAGTGAATGAATACAATATCACAAATTTAAGTGGAGGAAAATTAGAAAATAAATTGTTAAATTACACATAAGATTATATGAAAAAGTCGTAGAAAAATATTGTCTCTCTATCATTTTCTTAATTAAAATCATAACTTTATCTTTTATTTATTATAGAGGTGGTTAAATACTAAGAAAGGGGTAAAGTTTTTTGTGTAAGTTTGGAATATAGAGAACAAAAAAATGAAAACACAAATAATAACTTTGCTCTTTGAATGAATTCATGAGTAGTTAAAACTCACAGGTTTCCACATTGAATGCACAAGAGGCAGTTCTTAACAGCCCAAAATAAAGGGGGCAAAGTTTGCTTTGTCGGATCTAGTATTAGAAAAATATATACACTCGTGAGTCTTATTCATGCACCTTTTCAATGAAAAAAATTAATCATAATCACAACTTTAAAATTAAATTTATTAATATATAAATGTTATTTTATAAATTAAGTATACATGAACTAAGATTGTGTGAATTTTTTTTTTTATATATAGTTCTCTTGATTTTTTTTTTTTTTGAAAGGCTATAGTTCTCTTGATTTGAAACTGGATTTTCATAACAATCGAAAATAGATTTTCAGTATTACCCTAAAAAAAAAAAATTGTCCTTTGCATTGACAGGAAAACAAGACAAATGCATACCAACCAAAAGGCTTTGCCAAAGGTCCCCTCCTCAAAAAATAAAAGGGGCTTTCCCAAAGGAGCAATAGGGTTGGGGAAGGAGCAAAATATCTCATTCCCATTCTGGATGCTTTTCCATTATCAACCTCCCAACTAATCATGTCCAGCCAAAAAGGGAAAGAAAGAATTAAATAAACAAACAAGAAAGAAAGAAATAAAGAAAAGAAAAGAAAAGAAATCATTTTATTAATCCCATCCCAGTTCATACCTGTCTCTCTTTATTTCTCATTTCTTCCTTCTTCTTCATCTGTAATTTTGGCTTCAACGCAAAAAGTCTTTGAATCAAGAGAGCTGGCATTTAGAGAAAAGTTCCATAGGGTCAGCTAGCTTATCCCAAGTGCATTGTGTTGTGTCTTTATCTTAGGGAAGGAAAATCCAGATCAAGTTTTGTTTTTTTGGTGTTTTGAGATTCAAGTCATGAATCCTCAAGGAAGAGGGAAAGATGATTTTGTTGGAGCAAGCTTATCTTTTGCTGAAGTGGCTTCATCTATGGGTGCTCCTCAACCAATGGAGGGACTCCATGATGCAGGTCCTCCTCCTTTCCTCATAAAAACCTATGATATTGTTGAAGATTCAACCACAAATCACATAGTTTCTTGGAGCAGAGGCAATAATAGTTTCATTATATGGGATCCCCAGACCTTTGCCATGAGTCTTCTCCCTAGATACTTCAAGCACAGCAATTTCTCCAGCTTTGTCCGGCAGCTCAATACCTATGTAAGTAATGGACTCGTACCTTTTTCTGGATTAAACCCATGATTGCTTTGCCTTCTTAGATCAACTTTCATATGATGTTTCCTTTAACAAAAGCTTAGAGGGATTTTTTTATTGTATTTTATTTTATAAAAGCTCTCTTTATGGCAATAGATCCACATTCAATCATGTTCTGGAAGGATCAGCATTTTTTTTTTCTTAATAAATATGCATTTGTTCTGGTTTACCTGTTGATTAATTATAAGAGATTCAATTGGTTCTCTCTTTAGAATTGTTTTATGGGGGTTACTTATTGTAGACATCATGTTTGTTAAATTGTTTCAACCAGAAAAGTGTGGAGATTGGAACACTATTATTAGGCTGCTTTAGAGAATCATGTTTTGTTTACATGGTGTGCAGTTCTTTCATCTCATTATATGTCAGATTTTGTGTAACATAATGTCCATGTCCACATCTGCTGAGGCTGTTTGAAGGTTGGAGTTAGTACCATATATTAGTAGTCTATATTTAATGTCCAATGTATATAGCTTCTCTCTCTATATTTGATCTCCTTTTTCTCTTTTCTTTTTCCTACTGCGTTTAGGATTTGATTGTAAAGAAAAAGATTTCATTGATGTAGGGATTTAGAAAGGTTGATCCAGATAGATGGGAGTTTGCCAATGAAGGGTTTCTCAGAGGGCAAAGGCACCTTCTTAAGAATATTAGGAGGAGAAAGACACCTTCACCTCAAGCTTCACAGCAAGCTCTAGATTCTTGTGTTGAAATTGGGAGGTTTGGGGTGGATAGAGAAATTGATAGGCTAAGGCGTGACAAGCAGGTTTTGATGCTGGAGTTGATCAAACTGAGGCAGCAACAGCAAAACACTAGAACCTTCATTCAACTGATGGAAGAAAAATTGAAACAAACAGAGATGAAACAGCGGAATACGATCAGTTTCTTGGCAAGAGCATTGCAGAAACCAACTTTTCTGCATAAACTAGTCCAACAAAAAGATAAGATGAAAGAACTGGAGGAAGCAATCAGTAAGAAGCGGAGGCGGCATATCAATCAAGGGCCTACTAATTTTGAAGTTGGTGAATTAGGCGAGGGTGTCTTAGGAGGAACCTTTGTCAAGATTGAACCAGAGGAATATGGCAGTGACATTGCGGATTTACAGGTTTTGGAATTGGAACTTGCTATGGATATGCAAGGACAGTTTCTCGACCAGAATACCCTAGAGGAAGAAAGCGTGGAGAGAAGTGATGAAATAGGAAATAAAGGTAAGGAGCTTGATGAGAGGTTCTGGGAAGATCTATTAATGAATGATGATATTGATGAAGAGGCAACTGTTTTGGGTGTTGGAGATGAAGATGATGAAGAAGAAGATATAGATGTTTTGGTTAAGCAGCTAGATTACTCGGGTTCTATTCCAAAGTAGAGAAGCCAAATTAACTTGGCTTCCTGATAATGAGAGGGCAATGTAAGAGAAATATCTAGCTATCTGTCTGGTTTCTTTGTTTTCAGAAGGTGCTCCTCAACCCTGTAAATGTTCAGAAGGATATGTATTTATATTTCTTGGGATTTGTAGGAGGGAATTAATTAATGCTTGTACGCTAATATTGAAAAAATTTACAAACCAGGTGTACCTGCAAAAACACTCATTTTTTTCCCTGTGATTTTTACAGACTATTAATTTTAATTGGTACTTTTGAAGTGCATCTTATTTTGATTGCAAATTTGTAATTCAACCCATGTTAATTGGCTTCAAGTTTTTCTTGAAATTTCAGTACATCATACTCTGGCAAAGGATCTTTAATCACCTCTCTTCTGCATGAAAAAGCAACATAAATTTACTCATATATATATATATATATACATGAATCTATCTCAAGAACATGGTTGTAATCTAAACATTAAAATTATTAAAGTATTTTTTAATAGGTTAATATGTAAAAAATTTATTAAAAATATTTTAAATAATTTATAACTTAAATTATATTTTTATTTGTAATTTAAATTAAAAAAACACATTTTTATTATATTTATACTACATGAGGGGATCGTGCTGCATTCTGACGTCTCAGACAGTGATGTCGGTCGGTTTCTATAGAATTCTAGTCCCTTCACGCATTAAACATAATTTAATTAAAAATTAGTAAATAGTTCTTCACGGAAGTGCTAGATTGGTGTAGATGTTGCCTCCAAAACAAAAGGCTTGAAGTCTAAGTTTGCCTATTGCACAACTTTTTGGATAGGGTTGTCATCATGTTTTTTAGTTTCGTGTTTGTTCCATTGCCTACTTTCCCAAAAAATGAAAAAAAAAAAGTTTGTGTTTGTCATGTCTCTAAAATATAATATTTGTTCTTGCTTACTGTGTTGGATACTATAATAAATTGCATTATTTTTGAATGAATTATTACAGTCTAGCACATTCTAGTCTGAAAGAAAATAAGATGAAAACCCAACGAACTGGCAGTCTCTAGCTGTTTCTTTAGCAGTGACCAATGGCAGCGTAGCATGTCACGGATACTGCAATCAATTACTGTAACTACTGTTTTGTTATATGGAAAATCATTCTTTAATTATCTACAGCTTCACAAGGTAATTTGAATTTAAGCTTTAATTTGTTGGTTTAACCATTTTCAACCATTTATACTCAGTTCTCTTAAAGTAATTTTTGGTTTTTATTTTTATTTTTTTATATTAACAATTTAAAAATAATTTATTTATTTACTTATGTTATATGAGAAAAAAAATTAAAAAATTAAGATCGATCTTTTGTGATAAGATAATTAATTGAAATAAATAAATAATAATAGAGTTAAAGTAAAAAAATATTTGTTTATTTAAAATAAAAAACGATAATTAATTTAGAAGAAACTTAAAATAAAAAAATAACAGTTATTTAAAAAAAATACTTATAGTAGATATCTAATAATTAATCAATATTTATTATTATTTATAATTTAAACACTAGATAATACTATTTGAAATAGCAAAACTAAAAAAATTAAAATAAAATATTATTATTATGGTTTGTATAAATGTGTATAGCAATTATGCGTAAAAGCTATTAGAATTAAAAATGTAAACATGAATATTATATACTCAATATATAGTTCATATTGAAAAATGAAAACATATTAAAAGAATATAACCATATAAGTTTTTTGAATAACATATCAAAAAAGTTGGTAGAATTATAGATGACATTTTTTTACTATAATTAATGACGACGTTAAGTTTCTAAAATCATAAATTTTTTTTTTTTTGTTTCTTTCATTATTGTAATTTCTATAAACACTAATTAAGAAGAAGGTAATAATAGACTAAAAATGAGTTTTATTCATTAACTAGTTTTTTTATTGCCCGGTGCGTTGCACGGGTTATATTTTAAATTAATTTTTATATTAAAGTTTAAAATTTTGTATTATTTTTATAAATTTTTAATTTTATAATAATTTTTTACTCAAAAGATTTTATTGCATTTGCTAATTAGCAAGAATATTTTTCAAAATTGTACAAAGTCATATTAAAAAAAAAAAAAAGAACCAAAGTGAAATAAGAACATAAATTCTTTCAAATTTTGCGTTTCAATTGCTTTAGAATTAAGATCAAACAACAAATAAAACATTT